AGGTCCGGGACGCGAACCACGGTCGACTACGTGGGAGTCCAGCGACATAGCCATTACGCTAACTGCTAGTTCCCCCCCCCCAAATAGTTTTTTAAAATGAACTTAAAAAGTTTGAATGTCAGGGCCAACAGGTGGCGTGGTGGTTGAAGAACTGGACTCTCACATGGCCAACCACGGTTTGAGTCTCCGACCTGGTGGCTTGCTCTCTCACTTTTCCTCTCTTATCTCTCTGTCTTTCTCTGGTGAGTGCATATACCCTACGCCAAATTTAAAAGTAATAATAAATAAAATCAAATAAATAATTCCTTAAAAAAAGTTTATTCAAAAAAATGTTTGAATATGGGATCCAGCATGTGGCATGATGGTAAAGGTGCTAGATTCCCACATGGCTAACTATGATTCAACTTTCAGACCCAGCAGCTGGAAAATCATGCTGGTGCATGTGTGTGTGCCACCTTCACATGCCTGGTTTTGTCTTCCCACACACAGGCATACAGGGTCCTTCAACAGTTTATAGAAAAGTACAAGTTTAGGCTAGCCCCATAGCCTAGTGGTGAAGGAAGCCAGATCCCACAACCAGCGCTCAAATCCCAGCACTGGTAGCTTGAAAAATCCCCTAGAGGAAAGGGATTGTGGCATGGCCATCCCCTCTCTTCTCACTATCCCTCTCTCTGTCTCTCTCCGTTGAGTGCATGCACACTATGGCAAAAACCTAAAAGAAAAAAAAGTTTGACTGTGTCAGGCCAGCCAGTGGCATGGTAGTTAAGGAGCTGGATCCCACAAGGCCAACTGCATGATTCAAGTCCCAGACTTGGAGGCTTGAAAATCATATCAGGTATGTGTGTGCAGGCTCAGAATCCCAAGAGGAGAATGAAGAAGGAATTGTGGGTGTAGCCATCCCTGGGGTGTGAGGGGTAATTTTTCACTTTCTCTCTCTCTCTCTCTGGTGAGTGTACATACCCTATAGCAAAACTGGAAAAAAAAAGTTTGAATGTATCTTTTATAATGTTATTGAGATATATGCAATATCATCTAATAAGTGATCTCAAGACTCCTACATATTACAAGACCTGGGACTAGCAGGTAGAGAAATGGTCAAGGCGCTAGAGTCCTACATGGCCAACCACAGCTTGAGTTCTGGACCAAGAGGCTTGAAACTCATGCTGGGCACATGTGTGTGCATGCCCACAATCCCCAAGAGGAGAATGGAGGGAGAAGGAATTGTGGTGTGGTCATTCCCCCCGGAAGGTGATTTCTCACTTTCCCTCTCTCTCTCTCTGTCTCTCTTTGGCAAGTGCACACGCCCTGTGGCAAAAACGTAAAAAAAGAAAAAGTTTGAATGTATCAGGCCAGCCAGCAGCGTGGTAGTTAGGCACTGAATCCCACCTGGCTGGCTATATGCTTCAGTCAGACCTAAAGGCTTCAAAAACATACCAGGCGTGTGGGTGTAACCCAGAATCCCAACAGGAGAATGGAAAAGAGACTGCAGCGTGGCCTTCCCTTGGGGTGGGGAGGGGTGATTTTTCACTTTCCCTCTCTCTCACCCTCTCTCTCACCCTCTCTCTATCTCTGGTGAGCACACACATCCTATAGCAAAACTGGGGGAAAAAAGTTTGAATGTCTCATATTATTGAAAAATATGAAATACCATCTAATAAGTGATGTCAAGACTCCTACATAAAATATTACAAAACCTTATTAAGAGGAAATTACACAGGATCAGCAGTTGGTGTAATGGCTATGTCACTGGACTCCCATGTATTTGACCACAGTTCAAGTCCCGGACCCGGTGGCTTAAACTCACATTGGGCATGTGTGTGTGTGTGCACCCAGGATGCCCAGGATCCCAAGAGGAGAATGGAGGAGAAGGGATTGCGGCATGGCCATCCCCCCTGGGGGGGTGATTTCTCGCTTTCTGTCTCTTTGTCTCTCTGCCTTTCTGGCGAGTGCATGCGCTGTACAGCAAAAACCTCTCCAAAGGGGGGGAAAAAAAGAAACAAAAAGAAACAAAAAAGAGGAAATTACATAAATAGAGGTATGAACTCAGTCCACATTTTAGAGACTTACTGTTGTAAGACAACCATTCTACCCAAATTGATCTACAGATCCAAGGCCATCCCACCTAAGATCCCAGTGGTTTTTGAAGACTGCCACAAACTGCTGCTAAAATTCATCTCAAGAGCTAAATGGTGGCACAGTGGTAACACAAGTGGGTCCACAAGAGAAGGTCCCCTGTGTACAACACCCTAGGGCCTCACTGTACATACTGGGTGTGCCCACACATGCCCATGCCCTGGACTAGCTGCAGCAGGGGGTGGGTCTCGATGTGGTAACCCTGCTGGGGCTGCCACCTATCTTTCCAGCTCTCTCTCCATTGTGCTGTGCTGTCTCTCTCTCTCTCTCTCTCTCTCCCTCATGGAAGAAATAAACTTAAAAAATATTCATCAGACATGCTCTAAGAATTTCCAAAACATCACTGAAAAAGATGAGAGGATTTGTCCTACCGGCTTTGAATACTCCCTTTCAAGGAACAGTGACTGAACAGTGAGGGATTGGCTCAGAGATACTCAGCAGCTATGTGGAAGAGGACGGCTTGGGAAAGACCTGTTGCCTGTATGGACACTTGATTTTTAAAAAAGGTGGTGGGGTCAGCATGTGGCGTGGTGGTTCAGGTGCTGAACTCCCACATGACCAACTGCAGTTCAACTCTCAGACCTGGCGACTTGCTTTCTCACTTTCCCCCTCTCTCTGGTGAGCACACATGCCCTATAGCAAATTTTAAAATCATCATCATAATAATAGTAATAAATAAAATAAATAATACTTTAAAAAACAAACCAAAAGAGGTGGCACTTTATAGTACAAGAGGGACAGGACAGCCTTTTCAATAAATGGACATTTAAAAAAAGAAAAAACTTTATCTTAGTGAGTACAGTGGTCAGTACTGCTCACTGACCTTCAAGATGCCACCTGGGGTGGGGGTGGGGGTCAGCTGGTAGTGTGGAGGTTAAGGCAGCTGGATCCACTACATGGTTTGAGTACTGCACCCAGGGCTTGAAAAATATATCAAGCAGACATGCACACCCAAAATCCCAACAAGAGATACAGGTGGAGGAAAAGGTATTGTAGAGTGACCATTCCCCAAGGGGTGAGGATGGTCTCTTTCTCTCTCTGGAGAATTTAAAAAAAAAAAAAAAAAGATGCTACCCAAGGACATGAAGAAAGATGGAAGGGACCAGGCAATGGCATAGTGGTAACACAACTGGATCTGCATGGGAAAGGTCCTAAGTTCACATCCCAGGACCTCCCTGAACAGAAGCCCATAATTCGAGCCAGCTGAAACTGAAGCAGTGAGAAGTCCCTGTTGAGGATGCCTGTCTCTCTGTCTCTCTCATGGAAGAAATAAAAAAACTAAAAAAAAAAGAGGAAAAACAGAAGAAAGCTGAACAAGAAAGAAAGACAAAGACCCAGTGACTAAATTTTGGGGCAAGGCCAAAAAGAAGCAGTCAAAGGCAGATCTCATGACAGGCTCAATAACTTAGTCGTGACTGAGAAAGCTACATATGGCGAACTCTCAGGGACTGAAGTTGTGTGGTTCCCTGGCAAGGGCAGCCCTTCTGGAGCCCCTCAGTGAAGGACTTATCAATCTGCTTTCAAGGCACAGAGCTCAAGCAATTTTCACTAAGTATCAAAGGTGCCCCAGCTGCTGGTGAAGATGCATGAACAGGTCTAGCCTACTATACATTCAGAAAACAAAACTTTATTAAATGAAAAGAAAGAAAGAAGCAAAACAACTTGTCTTCATACTATGTGCCAAATAGCTCCAGGTGTCTCCTACGCCTAACTACATAGGCAGAAGAATAAAGCTCATAAAATGGGGTCAAGAAAAGATGACATGTGATGAGTAGATATTCCCTTTTAAAAGATCAAAAAGACCAAAAGATGGATAGTGATTCATAGCATGTGAAAATAAAACGCAATTCAGGTTTTGGTGTCCGTATAGACAAATCGATGCTCAGTTGATGACATGTGGCCTATGGCTGCTTTCACACGACCACTGCAGTCGAGTTGTGGTGCCATAGACCGAATGGTGCACAAGCCTAACATATTTACTGTCTGGTCATTTACCCAGTTGGCTGACTGCTGTTCTAGATGGGAGAAGCATATGTTCATTACTGCAGGTTAATGAAATTTCTTAAAAGGATTTCTTGAAGGCCCTAGCTTTTGTAAAGAAAAGGACTACTGGGGACCAGCAGTTAGTGTAATGGTTATGTCGCTGGACTCCCACGTAGTCGACCACGGTTCAAGTCCTGGACCCAGTGGCTTAAACTCACGCCGGGTGCGTGGGTGTGCGTGCATGCCCAGGATCCCGAGAGGAGAATGGAGGAGAAGGGATTGCGGCATGGCCATCCCCCCTGGGGGGTGATTTCTTGCTTTCTGTCTCTCTCTCTCTCTCTGTCTGTCTGGCGAGCGCACGCGCCCTACAGCAAAAACCTCTCCAAAAAAAGAAAAGAAAACAAAAGAACTGATCGGCGACCAGCAGGTGGCAGTGGTATGGTCAACCATGGTTCAAGTCCCAGACTTGGTGGCTTGCTTTCTCACTTTTTCTCTCTCTCTGTGTCTCTGGTCAAGTTAAAATAAATGAATCAATAAATAATTCTTAAAAAAAAAAAAGGAAAGATACAAGCAAAATGATAAATTGTGATTGAATGTTTAAAAAATAATTGGAACAATAATAATAATAATCTGAAAAAATAATGAAAAGCTATTTGATAATGATGATGGAGATTTTAATGTCTTTTTATTTACTGATATGCACAGTATTCCTTCTGGAAAAAGAAATGTAATACACTGTACAGTTATATGTGATTCAATGTAATATAAACAAGATTATGATAATAATAAAATTGATTCATTAATTACATTTTAAAAAGAAAGAAAGAAAAGGATTGACCAATCAAACTACATTTAAAATGCAAAAGTCCCCATTAAGAGGGTCAAAAGGCAAACCACAAAACAGGAGACAGCTGCCATTACATACCACCTCCAAAACAAACTACTTTAGTGGAAAAAGTCAGGGGCCAGGGAGCTGGCAGGTGGTGTGGTGGTTAAGACACTGGATTCCAGAAAATAAGTTATTTTTAAAAATTAAAAATAAAAAGACACTGGATTACCAGGGCCAGCAAATGGGGTAGTGGTTATGTTGCTGGATTCCCACATGACTGACCACAGTTTGATTCCCAGACTCAGTGGCTTGAAAATTATGCCAGGCACATGTGCATGCATTCCCAAGATCCCAGGAAGAGAATGGAAAAGAAAGAATTGCATTGTGGCCATGTACCCAGGGAGTGATTTCTCATTTTCCCTCTTACTGTCTGTCTGACCAGCACATGTGCCCTATGACCAAAAAAAAAAATAGACACATGTGGATTCCCACATGGCTGACCACACTTCAAGCCACAGATCCAGAAGCTTGAAAATCACACTGGGTGCATGTACGTACATGCCTAAAATCCCAAAAGGAGAATGGAGAAGAGATGGTGGTGTGGCCAAAATCATCACCTTTGGGGGTGATTTCTCACTTTCCCCCTCTCTCTGTCTCTGCCTCCAGTGAGTATACGAACCCTATGGCAAAAACCTAAAAAACAAAAACAAAAACAACCTCAGGGGCCTGTCCTATAGCCTAGTGGTTAAGAGAGCCAGATTCCACATGGCTAACCACAGCTCAAATCCTGGCCCTGGAAGTCTGAACAATATACCTGTGTATGCGTGATCCAAATCCTGACAGGATAGAGGAATAGAGAAGGTATTGCAGAGTGATCATGCCCCAGTGAAGGGTGCTTTCTCTCTCCTTCACTCACTCTGTCTCTGTCTCTCTTTGGTGGGTATCTGTGCCCTCTGGAAATTAAAAAAGAGCCTGGATGGCAGATGAGGAGGGAGGGCCTAACAAAACAGAAGGGACCTGATAAGAGACTAGAGGTGGTCTGGCAGCCTCCTCCTTCTCCACCTGGCAGTGATTACACGGTGCTTATTTTGGGATGAGTCAGCAAGATACATATACAGGGGTCTTCAAAGGTTCATGGAAATGTATATTATGAAAAAACTATGCATGAATTTCAAAACAGTTTTGCATGAAAATAAATCTATACTTGAATTCCATTTTCCATGAACAACTAGAAGTTCTCTCCTACATAGTTATATTGGGTTGTCAGAAGTCATGATGCACTTTTACACACACACACACACAAAAAAAACCCAGAAAAATATGTCATGACTTTTCTGACAACCCAATACATCATGTATGTTTGTACATTCGTGTTTTGTACACTTTATATATGTTACATCTCTTAGTGAGTTTACACATGTACTGCCCTTAAAAGATTCAAGGGAAGAAACGCAGTAAGCAGTAAGATCCAGGGAGTTCCACACTGGGGGACTGACCAGCTCCAGGCTGCATTGGATATTGCTGTCCAGGTGTCACCAGGACAGTGGCTGGGCTGGGCAGCACCCCCACTGGTGCTACTCACCTGCTGGTGTAGCCTGTGACGGGGTTCCAGCGCTGGTTCTCGTAGATGTAGACGGACTTCACGTCTGACTGTGGGTAGATGTTGCTGGTGCTGCTGGCCAGGCCTGCGGGGAGAGGAGGGACTAAGGTCACATTGGCCTGCTCAAGACTCTAGCTTCCTTTTCTTTTCTTTTTTTTTTTTTTTTTGATAATTATTCATTTAATTTTGTTTGTTATTATTATTTATTTTTTAGTTTGGCCAGAGAAAGTGAGAAACCAAGTTACCAGGTCCAGGACTCTAACCATAGCTGGCCATGTAGGAGTCCAGCACCTTAACTATCCTGCCACCTGCCAGTCCCGGGACTCTGGCTTTCTATATAAAGCACTGACACTCTCAGAGAACGAGTGGGAGGTGGGGTGGAGCTAGGTCAGCTTAGAGGGGTTAGCCAGCCTGATTTGGGTTTCTCTGCTCTGAGACCATGGTTATTTTAGGGTTGTACCACCTTAAACCTCCATCCCCACCACATCCATCATCCCCACCTTGGCTGTGTTCTCAACTGCCTATCTTCCTTCTTCCCACCCTACTTATCCAGCCCCAGGTAAGGTAGGTGAGAGCCCACCCAGCTCACTCCTTGTTAACAAAGGTACCTTAGGCCACTCACAGTACCTCCACGAGCCCCAGTTTCTTTATTTGTAAAATGCAGACAAAGACAACAAGTGCTTCATGCAGGGAGGCTGTTGAGCACGTGCAGATGCGAGTTCCTGTGGTCTGAGTGGACCACAGTTTTACAGGGTTAGCCATCCCACTACGGATATGTGGGCCGTTTCAGTGTTTGTTCTGTCTCCACTTTCTACCCTGCCTCCAAGAACTTGGAGAGATCAGAGGTCAGCAAGCTCTCACCCCATAGGAAGAACACACCAAATGAGGGACTGGAATTTGAGCCTGGGAATCAGGAGACCAGGGTCCAGGGTCCCCAGTGCACTCTGAGGCCTCATCTGTGAAATGGGGCTAGATTTGCTAAGGGGCCCTGGCAGTGCCTTTCTAGAAGCTTCAAAGCCCTAAGCTCAGTAGGTGGTGCCTAGAAGGCATGTTGGAGGCAAGGGCTAGTCTCTGGGTTCTTGCTTCCTGATTCAGCCCAGGGGAACCTGGCAGTGGTGAAGGTCACCTGTCAGCTACCTATTAGCGGACTGTCAATACTGGGACAGTGGCCCCCGTGTTGGGCAGAGAAGCGAGACGGGGATTAGAGGAAGGAACGCCCCAGGAAGGTCTGGGCAGGGTTGGGAAGCTGGTCCTGCCAGTGCAGGTGCCTGGGGCTGCCCTTACCTTGGAAGCAGCCTCCACCATAGCCACCTGTGTACACCCAGGCAGTGTGGTCATAGCCGATGCCCCATACCACGCCACGGCTGTTGGCCTCCACCACCCGCAGGTGACCTCCCATCTGCCGCCAAAACCTGCAAAGACGAGGCAGAGGGCAGGGCAGAAAAGGCACCTTACTCATTTCCAGCCTTCCACCTCCCTGGAGCCCTCTGCTTCTGTGCCCCCCCATGCACACGGCATTTTAAAAGTCCTCAGCACCCAAGCATATAGGGCAGGCAAGAAGTCTTCAGAGGCCTGTTCACTGGGCCCTGATCCCACACCAGCTGGGCTGAGGTCAGCATCCTTGTTTCACACAGGCTGTGGGGCCTGGGATACAGGGGATGAGCTGGCCATGGTGACGGCAACAGCCAGGCCTGACTGTGACAGCAGAGAGCAGGGTCATGACGCCTAATCCTCTGCATGAGCAACAGGGTGGCAAGTGGCCTGACAGGGTGAGACTTCGCAGTGAGACTGCACTGCAAAGCAGGGCACAGGCTGCAGCTGGCAGTCCAGCGAGCTCCCATGTCCTGCGTCAGAGGTGGCCTGACTTGCTGGGTTGGACACAGGGCACACACAGTTTGGCAAGCACCATGATTCTCTCCTATGGAGGGGACCCTTGGGCTAGCTTATGTCCCTGGTCCTAGAGTCTACTGGTAATTGAGGCCCTGGGTGACCTTCTGGGAGCAGCCCTCTGCTTTGAGGACAGCTGGATAAGCTAGGACAGAACTGTGAGTGCTGTTCTCCCCTGCACCCCGTGACCTAATACCTCCTGGGGCTTTAACCTCCCAGGCTCCTACATCCAGGCCCACCCTCCCTCCAGCTCGGCCCTGGCTACCCACCTTCTGGTCTCTGCCCCGTCCACATGCCAAAGGCAGATCCAGCCTGTTCCCTGCCCTCCTAGTCACTACGCTTCGAGTCTGTCCAGAGGCTTCAGATCCTGCCTCATATCCAACCTACTTCAAAACCCCAAGCCTACCTTGGAAACACCCAAGACAGCTTTCTCTCGGCCAGGTTATCTCTGAGACTTCAGGGCCCCCCTGCGGCACCCCTGCTGAGGGGCTCAGTAGGAGCTCCAGGCTTGTAGGGTGGGTGCGTCTGTGCCCTTGGGTTGGTGGGAGGGACCTGGCACCTCTGCCCTGGCCTGGGAGCCCTCGGGGGAAGACTGACCTGCCCTGAGCCCAGGTCTCTGGTTCCACTCTTGGAGAACTTCAACTGGAAAGAGGAGGACTAGGGGGCCTGGGAACCAGCCAGCCATGCCTCTGGCTGGTCAGCAGGCAGCTGGGCCATGTGGGCTCTGGTCCCGCTGGGTCCCTCCTCCTGGAACCATGAACTCTGGGTGCCGGGGGTGGGGGAAGAGGAGAGCCCAGCCCCAGGCCCCAGGTGCCATCCAGCGTGCAGCTCACTCACATCTGGTCACAGGGCAGCAGGTGTTCACGGGCCTCCAGGTCTGGGTTGGGCTCACTCACGAAGATGTCCCCTTTGCAGGTGATGGACCAGATGGCCTGGGGGGACGGGCGGCCGTGGACCTTTCGGCTCTCACAGCAGGACAGGCTGAGCAGGGCCAGCTGGCATGAGCACACAGGCTGGTCACTGCTGGGCTGGCCAAGGCCAGGCTGCCCCAGGACCACTCTCCCTTGACCCCCCACTCACCCAGTCATTCATGTCCTGCTCAGTTGCAGCAGCCAGACGCACAGGCCACCTCTGCCGTGTCCTCTCAGGGGTGTACAGGGCGAAGGAGTGCTTGGCCTCGTTAAGCACTGGGACCAGCACCGTCACCTCGTTGAGGAACACGTGGATGTACTGTTCAAAGAGTAGGCACCCGTGCAGGGCTGTCACCAGGATGGAGCGGGCCGCAGGGTGGTGCTGGGGCTCTGGGCCTGCAGGGTCCCTACTACCTGCTCTGTTGTGACAGACAGGAACTGGGGGACCTGTGACTCCACAAGGCTTGTTTATGGGGCCCCAGGGCTTTAGTGGTAGGCTATAGGGAGGGCAAGTCCCAGTACTGAAGCTATACTCTGTGGACAGATGCTTTAATTACATTTTATTTTATGTTTTTTTTGGAGAGGGTTTTGTTTGTTTGTTTGTTTGTTTGTTTGCTATAAGGCACATGCACTTGCCAGAAAGACAGAGACAGAGAGACAGAAAGCGAGAAATCACCCCCCCCCCCCCCCAGCGGGGATGGCCATGCCGCAATCCCTTCTCTTCCATTCTCCTCTCAGGATCTTGGACGCGCACGCACACGCACCTAGCTTGAGTTCAAGTCCACCAGGTCTGGGGCTCAAACCACAGTCACTACAGGGCAGTCCAGCTATGTAGCCATTACGCCATCTGCTGGTTCCCAGATACTTTAATTACATTTTAAAGATTAGGAACCAGCAGATGGCGTAATAGTTACATTGCTGGATTCCTACATAGTTGACTGCGGTTCCTCTTAGACCTACCGGCTTAAAACTTTTGCTGGGCACATGATCATGCATGCCCAAAAGCCCAACAGGAGAATGGAGGAGAAGGCATTGCGGTATGGCCATCCTCCGGGGGATGATTTTTCACTTTCTGTCTCTCTGGCCAGTGCACATGCCCTATAGCAAAAATCTCTCTTAAAAAATAAAAAGATCAAATGCCTGGCACCTGTGAGCCGTTAGGAGAGGTGAGAGACCTCATCTTCATTAATCATGGAGAAGATGAGGGCTAGTAAGCAGTTGCTCAGGGGGAGAAATGGCCTGTGAGGCTGCAGCCTGGCCTGGCACACACATGCCCAGCGAGCACCAACAGGAAGGGCCTTGCAAACTTGAGACACGGATCCCAGACCAAGCACCCCAGGACCATGCCCCAGGCCCACTCTTGCACCCCCACAGCCCTAGGTTGTTTTCTCCTGGGAACCCTGTGTTTTGGAAGGCTCCCTCCCCTGGGCACCCCCTAACCCCACACCCACCCCTCCTAGGCACCTTCTCCTCCTCGTGGACCACATAGTAGATGAAGAGGATGCTGTCCCGAGCCCCGTCATGCCCTGTGACCTGCTCCAGGGCCACGCGGACATCCACCCACTTGTGGGGCTTCCAGTCGCACCACCACTGCAGGGTCCCAGTCTTCACCCACACGGACTGCGGCACAGGCCCAAGGAAGAGGGGACACAGTCACAGGCAGGTCCCTCGGGTCCCCCAGTTTCTGCAGACTCAGGCCCTGTGTATACCTGTTCCCAGGATCCCCAGAGCCACCCTGGTCCTCTGACTTCCTCACCGTCTCGGTGGTGGCTCCAGCCCAGTACTTCCACTCCCCTGCAACGCTCCACAGGTGCAGGCCCTGAGCCAGCCCTGTGGACACATAGCCTCCTATTGCTCATACAGCCAGCAGGACTGGCAGTGTCAGCCCCTGTGCTGGATAGGGAAACTGAGGTTCAGGGAGGTCCTGTGCCTGGTCCGATGTCAACATCTGACTCAAAGCTGGGATCCGACCCTGGCCTGCCTGTGTCGAGGCCTGGCTGTCACAGGTGGATGCTTCTGCACTGTGAGCTGGTCCTCTGAAGGCAAAGTACTGCCTCCCTATCTGGACTGTGGGTCTCAAGGGGCCGGGCCCAGGTGGGTGGGCCTGGGAAGGACCCACGACCACCTCCACTCTGTCCTAGCTGGTATCAATAAAGCACTGCACCAATTGGGTGCTGGGAGATGGAGGGGGCATTCCTTGGGCAAAGAGGGGACAAAGTGATCCACCTCTTCCTGCTCTACTTTGAGGTTTCTGCTCTCTGGGTCCCCCATGCCTGCACTGTGGCCAGAGAGCAGGGGAACCTGAACAGTTCTTCAGCATGGATGAATAAGAGAACAAACCTAGTGGGTCATCAGGAAAGTTATGACGCATTTTTGCATAGAAAAACATGACTTTCCTGAAGACCTAATATTTCTTTATCTGAGTCTACGCCAGGGCCTGGAAAGGACCCAAGACAGACAGAGATGCATGCATCTACTTCTGTCCCACCTCAGGGCTGGCACAGCAGGCACTCAATGAAGTCCTGTTGAAAAACAACACATGCAGGACCCACCTGCTCCACGGCCTGTTCGTAGTGTCTAAAGTTCTCCAGCTCCCGCTTGGTCCTTTCTGTGAGCTGCTGGAAGATCTGCTTCCTCCAGGCGGCTGTCTGGGCCGGCGTGAGGGATAGGGACAGCGTCTGCACAGATGGGGACAGGCCTGCGGCCAGCCAGAGCCTCAGGACCAGGACACTGTCCAGCCACAGCTAGGCAGGAGATTGACTTGGTTATTTCCCCAAAGCAGCCCTCTTACTAAAATACCATGGTCTGAAAAATGCCCTATGAGCCTCGCCCCGTCACTCACCTCAACAGGTAAGTTGCTGTCCCAACAATGGCCTAGAAACTGGCTGCCACTGCTAGCAGAGGGTGGGGATTCCCATCCTGTGCCTCCTGGTGGTGGCCACCTGCCTTCGCTGACCCCTGCAGGAGTACTCTCCCAACTCGAGGTCACTCAGCCCCCCAGGACCCTTACCCGACTGCACAGTGAACCACTTGAGCACGGAGAAAGCCTCCACTGCACAGCTGCCCCCTGATACCCAGGCCCACAGCGGGTGGTCGTCCAGCACGTAGGACTCCTCCAATCCCAGTGGGAGAAGCCCCTGGGAGGAGGTAGTCTCGGGAAAGCCAGCAGCTGAGTGGCCGGGCGCTTTCTTGGGCTCCTTTAGGTCAATATTGGTCCAGGGCAGCTCTGCAGGGCTGGAGGCCAGGTTAGGGCATTTGGCAGACCCAGGCTCCCCTCGGCCCTCAGCTGGGCAGGTATTCTCCACAGCACCCTCCGTGGTCCTGCCGGCCCCTGGGCCTGAGGCTGAGCTCTCATCGGGGTTCCTAGAATTGTCTGAAGACTCTGAAGGGAGAGGCTGGTCCAGCTCTGGTCTCTCAACTTCTGAGGAGCCGTCGGTGTCACTGGGCGCAGACTCACCACCGCCCTTCACCTCATCACCAAAGAAGCAGCCAGCACTGGGAACAGAACAGGGCAGACTCGTCACTGCCTCGCAGAGGACAGGGACTACTATTAGGCCGACCTAGCTTGCTGCTCCACTGGGACAAGTCCTGGGACCGGGGGTCAGTCACAGCCCCTCTGAGCTCCTGTTTCCTCCTCTGTGCGACACACCCATCAATACCTGCTTCCCGGGGAGCTGGAGCACCTGGAACCATACCTCAGAACAATCAATCAATGTATCTGGAGGGTAGTTCTGAAATTAGCATTTCTTTTTTAATTGTGGTAAAATAGACACGACATAAAGTTTACCATTTTAACCACTTTTTTTAAAAAAAGTTTGTTTTTGTTTTTGCCATAGAGCACATACACTTGGCAGAGAGAGAAAGAGAGACAGTGAGAAGGAAGGTGAGAAATCACCCCCCGGGGGGGATGGCCACACCACAATCCCTTCTCCTCCATTCTCCTCCTGGGATTTTGGGCACACATACACATACACCTGGCACAATTTTCAAGCCATCAGCTCTGGGACTTGAAACGTGGAGTCAGCCATGTGGGAGTTCAGCACCTTAACCACTATGCCACCTGCTGGCCCCAGCCATTTAAACCACTTTAAAGCATGAATTCTACGGCATTAGTACATTCACAATGTTGTGCAATCATCTCCTCTACCTCCCTAGCTCCAGAACTTTTCTGTCACCCCAAATGGAAACCCCACACCCATTAGGCACTCTCACTCGCCATCTCCTCTCATCCCATCCCCAACTCCCCTGGCAACTTCTAATTTGCTCTCTGTATGGATTTGCCTGTTCTGGGCATTTCATTGGAGTGGAATTATGGACACGTTGTGGTCTTTTGTGACTGGTTCCATTCTCTAGCAGCATTTCAAGGTTCATCCACGTTGTGGTATATATCAGCTAGGACTTCATTCTTTTTATTGCCAAATATTATTCGACCATATGGATGTACCGTGTTTTATTTATGTTATAGGGTACATGTGCTTGCTGGAGAGAGACAGAGAGGGAGAGGGAGAAATCACCCCCTGGGGGCATGGTCATGCCACAATCCCTTCTATTCCATTCTCCCTTGGGATTTTTTTGGGCGTGCACACACACACACACACACACACACACACACACACACACACACACTCGCCCAGTGTATTTTTGAAGCCTCTGGGTCTGGAACTTGAATAGTGCAGTTGGCCATGTGAGACCCAGCCACCTTAACCACCACACCACTGGCTGGCTCCTGTTTATTTATTATTGATGGACACCTGGGTTATTAATGTTTTAGGCTATTGTGATTAGTACTTCTATAAACATTCATGTACAAGATTTTGCTCACATGACTGTTTTCAGTCATTCTGGGGTACATACCTAGGGGTTGATTTGCTGAGTCATATGGAAACTCTACATTCAACTTCTTGAAGAACAGTCAATTGATTTCTACAGTGCACCAATGTATAAGGATCCCAATTTCTTTTTTTTTTTTTGGAGAGGTTTTTCCGCTATAGGGCGCGTGCACTCGCCAGACAGAGAGAAACATAGAGACAGAAAGCGAGAAATCACCTCCCAGAGGGGATGGTCACACCGCAATCCCTTCTCCTCCAGGGATCTTGGGCACGCACGCACACATGCCCAGTGTGAGTTTTAAGCCACTGGGTCCGGCACGCGAACCTCAGTCGACTACGTGGGAGTCCAGCGACATAGCCATTATGCTAACTGCTGGTTTCCAAGGATTCCAATTTCTGAAAATCCTGTAACATCTGTCTTTCTTTGGAATTTTGGGCACACATGCACATGTGCCTGGCATGATTTTCAAGCCATCAGGTCGAGGACTTGAACCATGGTTTTCCATATGGGAGTCTAGCACCTTAACCATCATGCCACCTGTTGGCTCCTCCTTTACTCTTTTCATTTACTTAGACATTTTAAAAGATCTGTTTAATTATTACTATTTTTTTTAATTTGCCTATAGGCCACATGCACTCTCCAGAGAGAGACAGAGAGAAAGTGAGAAAGCAAGTTGCCAGGTCTGAGACTCAAACCGTAGTTGACCATGTGGGAGTCCAGTGCCTTAACCACCATGCCACATGCTGGTCCCTCCTTTACTCTTTTTAAATTGGGATGTTGATCTTTGTTGTTAAGACTTCTTTAAAAAAAAAAAAAAAAGACTTCTTTATATGTTCTAGACCCTTTATCAGACAAATGATTTGTAAAGATTTTTCCCTATTCTATGGATTGTCTTTTCACTCACTTTATGATAGTATCCTTCAATTCACAGTTTTTTTTTTAATTTTGATGAAGTCCAAATTATCTATATTTCTATATTTCCTTTTATTTAGTTGTCAGAGCGTGAGTATGTTCACCAGAGAAAGACAGAAAGCAGGGTGGGGTGCAGTCATGCTACAATCCCTTCTCCTTCATTTCTCCATCCTGTTGAAATTTGGGGCACGCATGTCCTGTGTACTTTCCAAGCCACTGGGGCCACATAGAATCTGGCTCTCTTAACCACTAGATTAAGGGACTGGATAATGCTTTTGTTGCTTGTACTTTGGATGTCATATCTAAGAAGATTGCCAAATGCAAGGTCATAAATATTTGGCATCTGTTTTTGAAATTTCTTAGCAGATTCTAATGTGTTGCCCAGTCTGAGAACTACCAAACCTCAGGTAAAATAGGAGCAAGCTCCTGCTCAGGCTGTCCTCCACCTCTGGGCTGAGTGAGAGTGCTACAGAGTGATGACCACAAGCTTGGGGAGCAAAGCAGTGTGGACCAGGGTCTAGGGAATGTGGCTGTATGTCGTTTCAATGACACCTCTTAGTGAGAGCTGAGATGTCCCCAGTTGGGATGTTAAGTCACCTCCATATACTCAAGGCCAGTGGGCAGAGCTGGGACTTCTCTATGCTCTTAAAGTCCTAAGATTCTACATGTGGTCCCCAGAGCAGCATGACCTGGGACTTGCAGAGAAATGCAAACTCTTAGACAGAAACTCTGGGGCTGGGTCTAAAACTCTGTGTCTGCACAAGCCCTGCAGGTGACTTGAGCATGCCAAATCTGAGACCACTGCTGTGGATGAGAGTGACCCTCCACCTTGTTCCCCACTCCACTTGGGTAGAAGGGCCTTAGCATTTACCCCAAGAAGCAGCTTTGTCTCTTCCAGATCTTGAGACTTCAGAACCAATGTGCTAGCCCCATTCAAGGCTGATCCTGGCTCCATCATGGAACATCAGCCCTGGGATTCCCATGTGCCAACCTCAAACAGTCCAGAGTGTCCATTAATATCTCTATGCAGATGCCCGTGAGGCCACTGACAGCCATTCCCAACCCAAGTCCTCCATGTCCCACTGCCTGGATCACCTGAGGAGACTCGATGAGCTGCCAGAGTGGGAACGGTCACATTCTCGGCCTGCAACAATGGCCTTCCATGTCTTCCCACTGAGCTCACTGGGGGTGACGCCCTGCCGGAAGTACACCGCTCGGTCCTCACAGCCAATGCCCCAGACCTGGAACAGAAAAGGATGCTCAGAGGAGGCTGGAGCAGAGCTGGGGACTCCTCTGCCTTCTTGGAGTACTAAGGTGGGGCTTGGGTAGTGCACTGCAGGGCTGGGGGACATGTCTGCAAACTCAGGCAGTGGGCTGCATGCATGAGCATGTGTCAGAGCTGGGAAGGTCTGTGGTGGTCGGATGTGGGGTGGGCACAGAAGTCAAATGCAGAAAGAGGAGCCCAGGAGGGTCTGGGAGAGGGTTCAGCACCAAGCTCTGGAAAAGCAGGAACCTAGTCCAAACTTCCCAGCCTCAGGCAGCCCCAGGTTTCAGGGTGACCAGGTCTAGAGGTGGCAGGACTGGTGGGTGCTGTGTAGGGACAAAAGATCCACCTGTGTCCCTCCCTATCTTCCATGTGGCCTGTGATCGAAAGCTGATCCTAAGTGAACCCAAGGTGATCTTGATCTTTTTTTCAGATGTAAACTAACTTCCTTAACTTTGACACCTTGTTTTCCATCCAGAAGGTGATTGGGCAAGCATCCTACCCTCTACTTTTGGGTGAGGAGGAAGGCAGGTTTGTTGAAGGGCCCTGGGAGGGTGTTATGAAGGGCCACAGCCTACCCAGGGTCCAGTAGAGCCATGGGGCTTTGCCATGGCATCTCTGTCACTTGGCCACAGCTAGCTGGGTGGGTCACTGCCTCAGGCTCAGCCCCTGAGCACCAGCAGGCCCTGTCTGGCTTCTGGCCACTGTGTGCTATTGCCCAGGGTGAATGGGAGAGGAGTATCAGGTGCAGAGGGAAGCCTGACTGCCCTGGGAAGAGCTCCCAGCACAGTGCAAGCAATGTAGGTGTCAGCTCCATAGCAAAGGGCTACAGCCTGTAAGTCTTTTTTGTTTGGAGAGTTTTTTGCTATAGGGCGCGTGTGCTTGCTAGAAAGACAGAGAGAGACAGAAAGTGAGAAATCACACCCCAGAGGGATGGCCACGCAGCTATCCCTTCTCCATTCTCCTCTCGGGATCTTGGGCACACTCACACACACGCCCAGCGTGAGTTTAAGGCACAGGGTCCGAGGTTCAAACCTTGTTTGACTATGTGGGAATCCAGCAACATAACCATTACACCAACTGCTGGTCCTGCAACCTGTAAGTCTTAAAAATACTTACGCCTCCTCATCTCTGAGAGGAAGGCCACACTGTAAAACTACACTGCTGATGCTTGGGAAAAGTTGCATCCACAGTTGAAGCAAGATCAGTTTCTCTGCTCCCCTGGCGACCCCCCCCCCACACAGAAACCTGACTCACTCACATAGGTCTCAACTTTACAGCTTCAGGATGTGTGTCCCTTCTGCAGACCAGTGCTCATAGTGACCCTGGGGCTAGTAGGAGCTCTTGGATGGTGGTGAGACCAGTCCCTGTGTGCTCAAAGGCTGGAGTGAGGGAAGATGCTGGGAATCCCACCAAGTTGGCACTATGAGTCCGTGCTAATGGGCTGGGATAGTGGATGCCAGGTCAATGCATTGCGTTGGGAGTCCCCATGCTTAAGACTCCCTGCTGCATACATACTGCTGACCCCAGGCCTGGGGCCAGGTACGCACCTGGTCATTCAGCCCCACGTTCACCATCAGCATTTCTCCCACCATCTCGATCCAGCTGGTGCCACAGGGATTGTGAGAGTTGACGCCTCTTCGGAACCACACCTAGAAAAGTCAGAAAGAAACATGCCTCCCTGGAGGGCCACTGAAATAGAAAGGATGTTTAAGGTTCAGGAAGAATAGATGGATAATGTAATCCTGTGGTTCATGCCACAAAGGAGCCCAGCACATTGTTTAGGAAGGAAATGCCTATCCACGTCCCTCTTCCCACACTCATGCCACAACTCCTCCTGCACTTGGCACTGTCCCACGAGGGCTGGAAGTCACTTGCTCTCAGCCATATCCATCCTGGAAGCTCTCTGTCCATTCTCTGGCCTAATGCTTGGAAAAGGCCACTTTAGGGGCCAGTCAGTGGCGTAGTGGTTAAGGTGCTGGACACCCACATGACCGACTGTAGTTTGAGTCCTGGACTGGCAGCTTCAAACTCATGCTGGTCATGTGTGTGTGCATGCCCACGATCCCAGGAGGAGAGTAGAAGAGAAGGGGATGTGTTATTGTGGCTATCACCCTGGGAGGGGGGGTGATTTCTCACTTCCCCTCTCACTGTCTCTGTCTCTTCCTCTCCAGAGAGCGCATGTGCCCTAAGGCAAAAACCTCTTCAAAAGAAAATTGGAGGGACCAGCAGTTGGCATAATGGTTACATCACTGGACTCCCACATGGTCGACCACATTTTGAGTCCTGGATCCAGTGACTCAAAACTCATGCTGGCACGTGTACGTGTGTGCCCAGGATCCTGGGAGGAGAGGGCATTATTACCCTCCTGGGGGGTGACTTCTCACTTTTCCTCTCACTGTCACTGTCTCTTTCTCTGGCAAGCACATGTGCCGTAAGGCCAAAACCTCTACAAAATAAAAAAATTCTATTGGGTCATTGGAAAAATCATGACACATTTTTGCAAAGGAAAACAAAACTATGTCATGATTTTTCCATCGACCCAATAGATGGGCCAGCCCTGTGGCTTAGGGGTTAATGGAGTCGTATCCCACATGTCCAACCGTAGGGTTCAAATCTCAGACCCAGTCAGATTATGCTATGACCATGCCCCATGGCAGGTGCTTTTTCTCTCTCCCTCTCTGTTTGTTTCTCCCTCTTTTTCTGCTCTCCGGTGAGGACACATGTCCTCTGGTTATTACTTTTTAAGTGATTTTTTGCTATAGGGCACGTGAGCTTGCCAGTGAGACAGAGAGACAGAAAGCGAGAAATCACCACCCAGTAGGGAAGATCATGCTGCAATCCCTTCTCCTCCAGTCTCCTCTTGGGATTTTGGACACACATGCACACGAGCTTGGTGTGAGTTTTAAGCCACTGGGTCCAGGACTTGAACCCCAGTCGACACATGGGAGTCCAGCGACATAACCATTATGCCATCTGCAGGTCCCAAAATTTGGAAAAAAAAAAAACAACTTTCTAGACCTGTCTAAACTTTCTCCTTAACTCTAAGAAAGTATGCACAAATACTGCTCTTGTAAATCAATCTTTGCTCATTAAATCCAAAAGTGACGGTATGTTGCTAAAGAGAGACATGAGAGTTCTGGCTCCTAGGAGGTGAGGCGCTTAGGACTCATGGAGGAAGAGTCTGGTCTGTATTTTCTCAGGCTGGGCCTTCCGTATTGGAGACACAGGCTCACACGTACAGATGCTGGAGAAGCCTCCTTGATGCGTGGTTAGAAAGGAAGCATGAAAGCAATCTGAAAGCAGCTTACTCTATCAGATTTACCTCTGATAAAATACAAATGACAGGCAGTGAAGAGGGCAGAGGGGAGGCATTTGATTAATCAGGGCTCTCAGTACTTTAGCTTCTGATGATCTGAAACATTATGGCCTATTAAGTGATAAGTTGTCCTGTATTTTGTACTTGGGGTGGTTTTGTGGTACTAAATACCCTAGAGATTGGCAAGGATTTCAACAACAGAAAAGTGCACAGTTCTTGGTTAATGTTGGATTTGTTCCAGAGGACAAAAACACACAATCCTCGACATTAGCTGGTGCCTGTGAACCCCGCCCCAGCATCCCCATCTTACTTTCCGGTCCTTTGTGACAGCCCAGACCACGCCGACTCCCACGGAGACATGCATGATTCCGTTTTCAGACCCAGGAGGCTCCACTATCGACCAGGAACTTCCTACCAGACCCCAATAAAAACCCCAGGTGGCCGTCATCAGCCAAGGCACTAGGGAGCAGGTGACTCCACCCTTCTCCCCAGTACAGGCCGTGGGTTTGGCCTGGGCTCACCTTTGGGGTTGTTTCTATTGATTCCTTCCCGGACAAGAGCCTGGCCCTCCCAGAGGGTGGCCCACAGGAGATCGTGTGGCCCACAGCTGATCTGAGCCACCTCTCCGGGGGTGTCCATGAGGGACCATGAGGAGCCTTCGGGGTTGGGGTGGCAGACATCCTCCCTGTACCACAGCTGGAAGGCAAATAAAGGACATGGCATTTGCAAAAGCATGCCCACTCCGCCAAGCACGGGGGCTTCTGGAGGGGCTGGGGGCTGGGACTGGTGTACATTATCAGCTTATCTGTGAATGATGGTGGTGGGAGGTTAGGAGAAAGATCTTGACCCCCCAACTGAGGCAAAAAAAAGTGCAAATCCTGGATTTCGGTTCTCCTAAGAAATAGATCTGTTCCATTCATCTGCTTATGAGAACCTCCCACCTCCACCCACGTCTGATTCCAGCCTCAGATATGTTCCCAGGCTCCCCGCCAGCCTGTGTGCCCTGTGCCCCCTTGTGGTCATGTGCTCTCAGGACACTCGTCTCCGGGAATCCTGGGCCACTTGTAGTTAAGTGGGAAAACCCCAAGCCCCCACTGATACAAATAACCAAATATCCGTTGTTTGTTTTTGTTTTGTTTTGTTTTTCTGTTTTTGTCTTCTCTTTAACATGAATAGTTAAGACTGAACAACTCGCTCATATCGTCCAACCCCATTTCATGGGCTCCAAGTTGCTATAGGACCCAGGCAGCCCTCTGGATCTGCCATGCTATCCTTACAACAGGGCCTACAGGGCCAGGCCTAGGAACGGCCCCTTCTGCACCAGGTGGTTCCAGGATCCTCTGCCTCCTCAGCTCCCCTGGGAGCACAGGACAGGTGAGGGAGGCACTGGCTCACAAATACTTGCTCTCCACTCTGGCTCCTGCTCTTTCCTCTCTGCATCCAGGTGGCCGTGGCCCCTTCAAAGGGGCTCTGCCCTGGAACAACCCCCTCACTCTGCCTGGTGCCCTCCCCACAAACCTTCAGCGTAGCCCTAAGGTAGCACCTGAGATTAACCTAAACCTGGCCAAACAACCCCAGAGGGAAGCCTGTTAAAAGCAAAACAAAACAAAACAAACCTGCTTTGACCGTTCCAAAGCCAACTGGAGAACTAGGGTCAATTTATAATAGAGTTACTGCATAGTCAATAAAGTATGACCTGAAACTGTGATTAAAATATTGGCTTGCCCACGCTCAGGACACTCTGTGCCCCTGCCATTGGCAGGTTTTAGTCCTTTGCTTAGTTCACAAACTCGCTAAGAAAAAGACCTCCTTTTTCCCAACACATCCACTCATCCATCATCCATCCACTTACCCACTCACGCATCTATTTATCCACCCATCCACTCATCCATCGCTCCACTCACTCATCCACCCATCCACACACGCACCCACGCAGCCATCCTTCCACCCACCCATTCATGCATAATACTCCTGAAGACTCTGCGTGAGGAACACCATAAGGAAGCTTGCAGAGAGCTCTGAATCTGTCCAAGGAGACAATATCGGTGCCACCTGAGCCCAGGGGGGGCACTAGTAGTACTTGTGGAGGCTTGGAGGAGGGACAGAACAGCACCAGGCATACAGCGGGGAAACTGAGATGCAGGGGGCCCACAGGACAGGATCCCCTGGAGGGGGGACTGTGGGGTGCCTAGTCACATGCTGCCTGCTCAGGAAACCCCAGCTCCAGGGACAGAAGACAAGGAGAAGGTCTTAAGGGCAGCCCTGCTCCTTCCTCCAGCCCTGGAGGACCTGTAACCAGATTCTCTCCTACCCCACGCCTGCCTATGGGCAATCTCCCTTAGCCGCCTCTCTTCCGGAGCACAGGGCAGGCTTGGTCTTACCTTTCCTTGCAGGGACACGGCCCACACTGACAGGCGACCTATGGGCTCCTCTGTGATCTCCCAACCACCCACAGAGAGGTCGTTGAAGGGGTCAGGCAGTTGCTTGGGGTCATCTTTGGAGGGGATCTGGAACAAGGAGGCAAGAAACCATGGTGGTCAGTACCTGCTGCCTGGCAGCACAACAGGCTTCCTCACCGCGTCCCCTCCTGGGGGGTGCCTGGGCACGCACCCTCCCTCCTGCCACCCGCCTCCCTTCTGACCCTACGCATGCCACCTTCCTTGCTCCAACTCAGCTCACCAGTGCCTGACTCCACCAAGGAGGCAGCCACAGGACTGTGGGCTCTCGGCCCTGGGTCCTCTCTGCTCTACGCTCCAGCAGCCAGCAAGCCTGCGTTGCTGTCTGCGAGAGATCTCTGCTGCTCCCTCAGGGAAAGCAGATGAACCCCACGGCCTCAGCTCGGGGCTTCCCAAAGATCTGAGGGCTGTGACTCTGTTCCAAGCTACAGAACAGAGCTGACAGAGCCTCAGTGGACCAGGGCCAGCCCACTGCTCTCCTGCCCCTCCCAGCCAGGGCTGGTCTGGAGAGGTCTCATTTGAGGCCACATCAAGACCACACACCAGGATGATTGTCCCTAGGTGGGAGCTTTTTCTAGGCCGTGGGAACAACACTAGAGCCAGACAGTGGGCAGGGGAGGAAAAACTACCTAGCTTTAGTATGGAACAGCCCAGAGACTCGGGTCAGCACCAGTTCTATGCTGTCCTGGGCCACGGTCTGGCCCAACTGTCCTTGTGACCATTTCCCAAATTCAGGGACATGCAGTGCTAAGGTGTCTCAGGACAGGAACTAACTCAGAGGCAGGTCCCAGGATAGGCATGGCATCTCCTTGTGCACAAGTGCACGGGCAGAAAGGGCAGGGATGAGGGTCCATGTGACCCTCCTACACTGGACTGCTGACCCCAGCCTCTAGTCTGTCTTGGCCTTGCCCCCAAGCCACACTCAGACACGGAGACCTTGGCCCAGGCGTCCCGGGACTTGTATCTCCTGTACCGGATCCACTTCCGCCGTCGCACGCAAGAATTCCACTTTTTGTCTCTCGTGTAGGTGGCAGGGAAGTCGATGGCATATGTCCACCCCTGCAATACCAAGGGGGCTCTGCGAGGCTCTGGGGAAAGTGTGGAGGAAAGGAGGGGCAGGAGAGGGAACAGGTTGGGGGCAGCATCTGATCTGGTCACAGCAAGCAGAAGTCAGCTACCACGGGTGCTGGGGACAGGCTGAGCCCGAGGCTCCCCTCCCCAGGAGCAGCCAGAGTAGGCCCTGAGTTCACTTACCCCTTTTTCGGTGGGTTCTCCTCCAAAATTCTCATCCACGTACCAGTCTGACTCCCATTCCCAGTGCGGCGAGGGCAGCATCACCCCATCCAGTGGCCGGTGCTGGAGCCCACTCACGTCACTCCACGACCAGCGGTCACTTGGCAGGAGCTTCTCACAGAAGCCGCCCATGGGGTTCCAGCGCTGAGGGCCAGGGATGCAGGAATGGCCTTAGGCTCAAGCCTGCTGGGAGGGGACCCAGGCGAGCAGGGCCTCTCTGGGCCAGAGGGATCTTGCTCAACAGGCCCCTCCTGTTCATCTCCAGGATGGGAAGTGAGCAGAAGGACTGCCTGAGATCCAGGAATCAGGGGCCCCCACACTGTGTCATCTCGAGCCAGCACATCTGAGAACCTGCCCACTAGCCACAGTTCTTCCAGAAGGCAGGCAGTAGAAGGCACGCCTGTCCTGGGATCCTAAACAGCCCAGAGCCTGCCCTCGTACAGATCTGGCTGCAGGAGCTTCCGCCCCAAAGACCCTAGATGTTGCACACCTCAGCTCTTAGGTACAATGGAGTGGGAACTGGCAACGGGTTTCTCTTCTATGGTTTATCAGGTTAATGGATAATCCCGTAAACCAACCAAATAAGCTACTCCGAACATATGCAACGCTACCTGATTCTCATAGGCCTCCTCTCGGCGGCGGATGGGGACGTCGCTGGCACACATGTACAAGTAGACCTGGTTGTCGCAGGCAATGCCCCAGCAGCACTGCATGGCCGCGCTGACCCGCTTGAACTCCAGCTGGGCATCCTTGCACAGCTCCCAGTACTGGCCAGCTGTGGACAGCGTGTACACCCTCCCGAAGAGGTCTACTGCCCACAGCACGGAGTTGGGCATGGCGGCGGCTAAAGGGAAACTGGTGACAGGAAGGGGAGATGGGACTCAGTGTCCTGGCCCCCAGCCCGGGGGAACATCAAGGCCAAGTGGGACCCAGGACCCCTCTGCCATGACCATCTTATGCCGTGGATGGCCCAGAGGGGGAGTGAACAGAAATCCCACGAACTAGAAGCAGAGCCTGGCTTTCAACCTATATTCCTTTTGCTTTCTTTGCCTTTCCTTCCCTCTCAGTATGGGAGAGTTTTCAAGCATGTAGAAAAGTACAGGGAAGGGGTCAGTGGCGTGGTGGTTAAGGGTGCTGGACTCCCACATGGCCAACCGAGGTTCAGGTCCTGGACCCTGCAGCGTGCTTTCTCACTTTCTCTCTCTCTCTTTCTCATTCTATCCCTCTCTGGTCAAATTAAAATAAATAGTAAATAAAGTTAAATAATTCTTTAAAAATATTTAACATCCAAGGACCTGCCTTCCCAGATTCAATGCACCTAATTATTCTGTTTCCTTCGGATCTTTCTTTTCAAAAGAATAAATGGAGGGTGTGGTGGCGCCCGCCCTATGGCAAAAATCTATGGAGGCTGGAGGATTGCGGCATCGAGTCCATCTCTCTCTCTCTCTCTCTCAGTCTCTCTCAACGAGCACGATTTTTTGGGGAACCAGCAGTTAGCGTAATGGCTATGTCGCTGGATTCCCACGTAGTTGACCGCGGTTCGTGTCCCGGACCTGGTGGCTTAAAACTCACACCAGGCGCGTGTGTGCGTGCCCAAGATCCCGAGAGGAGAATGGAGGAGAAGGGATTGCGGCGTGACCATCCCCCTGGGGGGTGATTTCTCATTTTCTGTCTCTATGTCTCTCTCTGTCTGTCTGGCGAGCGCACGCGCCCTATAGCGAAAACCTCTCAAAAAAAAAAAAAAAGAATAAATGGGCCCAGCTACTGTGATACAGCAGCAACACTGGCACCCTGCAGTGCCAGAAGCCATAGGGTGATCACAGTTTGGATCCTGGGTCAGTCTGAAAAAAACAAACTGGGTCCCTAGGACCCTGGGAAAGTGGGGGACGGAGGAAAGGGGATCATGGAGTGACAAGACCCTATTGAGGCTGCTTCTGTCTCTCTTGCGCAAGTGCACATGCTTTCTCTCACAACAATAAAAAAGGAAGAAAGAAAAAGAATAAGGGAAAGCTTATAGAACTGGTTCAATCTCAAAACATTTAACCATCCTGCTGTCTCCTGGGGCCCCTCCCCTGCAGTGGGCAGGTCTCTTCTATGTCAGTCCCACTGTGACATTCCTATCTGGGTCTGGTGAGAGTGTCCGCACAGGTCTGGCATCCCAGACAGTCTTGTGTGGTCCTGCAGGAGCCATGTGACTGTGTGGACTCAAGGCTGTAAGGGCCCTCTCTTCATCCTCCCTGAGTGGCTGCCTTGTTTTCTTTCGGTCTCTCCTGCTGCCATTCTCCACTCCTGTCCTCTCTGTCTCCTCTTTCTTTGTGCTTTGTAGGGGTGATCACTGTCATGGCTAAGCTCAGCCACTGACCACTACCCTGTCCCAGAGAATGATGGCACTGCTACACCTTGGTATGACTTTTGGAGCCCTGGATTCTGGTAGGAACAAACTCTCCACCATGGCAGGGTCACATGGCCAGACCA